TGGTTCTGGACTGTGTAGTGATCAGGTGGGTGCTCGGGAGCAGATGCACGGTTCTGGACTGTGTAGTGATCAGGTGGGTGCTCGGGAGCGGATGCTCTTCTCACTTCTGGACCCTCAGTCAGGCTCTGGGCCTGGTAGACTAGCAGGTGTCTGAAGACAGTGGCTTTACTGCTCATGGCTGCTTCTCAGGAGGGGTGAGGTCAGCTCAGAGGGAAAAGAGGAAGAGATGGAGGTGGAGGTGGGCAGCCTGGGTCACAAGCGCTGACTAGCCACCCATCTTTCCTCAGCCTTGGTATCCTGGTCCATAAGACAGCCCATAGCACCGGGCTCACAGGGTGTCTGGGAGACAGGAACAGGGTGACGAACGGAGACCCCTTCCTGCACCCTGAGGTGGCAGGACAGGGTGTGGCACTCAGGCCATCATGGACAGACGGACAACAGCACGGAGAGGGAAGGAGGTGGATCCTGAGAGCCACGTCTTCATGGGGCGTCAAGTCACAGGCCTCAGGTGTATGCTGCGTGGGGCTCTGGAGGGGAGCAGGGAAGGTCGGGCGGGCTGCACGCTTCCCCCGCTGTCCGATCAGCTTCCCTGGGACCCCGGGCCTGGCCCCCTCGTGCTCCTGGGGTCTGGGTGCATCAAGCTGCTCTCTGCAGTTGCTGTCGGTGAGCCTCCGTTTCATCACGCTGGCCAGGCCTGGCAGACAAGAGCTGGGAGGGTACCTGCCCTGCCAGCCTGGCATCGGCTTCTTGCCGCCTCAGCCAACACCCTCTCCTAGACTGTAGCCAACTATTTGTGGCCCGTAAGCAGCATAGCAGATGTGTGTCTTGCTCAAGTCGGACATTACATTTTTCCGGATGGCTGGACACTTCCTGGCCCAAAGGGGGCTGAGTGATGGACTCGCTTTGTCCTGTATTCTCTGCTTTCCCAAGTCCCCGCCTGTCTCTCCGCTTCGTCCTGGCCAGCGGGAAGCAGGCTGGGTCAGCTCCAGCCGTCCTCTGCTCTATGATCAAACAGAGCCCAGATGGAGCCCCAGGGTTGCAGGTGGCTGGGACCCCTCCCCCGAGTTATTTTTGGCCCTGAGCTGGCCCATAGACTCCCTGCCAACAGCAATTACTAAGTTTTCATCTTGTTTTTGCTTCTGGCTTAGAGTATGTCAAAAATGTTCCACTGGAGACCTAGGGCACCCCGGCGTGAGGGGGGAGGGCCAGGCTGTCAGCTCCTGCCACAGGGCACCCCGGCGTGAAGGGGGAGGGCCAGGCTGTCAGCTCCTGCGACAGGGCCTCTGGGGGTTCTGCGGGGGGGGGGAGCAGGGCAGGACCACTGAGGTCTGTTTTTGTGTGCTGAGCTTGGTGGCCCTTCCCCCCTCGCCAGGAGCAAGGCATCCTCTGTTACAGAAAAGGTCACAGAGGGGAAGCCGGAGAACAGGGTTCACAAGTTCTACTCTCCCTACCAAGTCTGCCGCCTTTCCAGCCCAGAAGACTTGATCTTGCTGGGGGTGGGGGGTAGGGTGGGGATGGAAGCTTGGAAGGCCATGGGGGAACCAGCAAGATCTGCCACTAGGGCTCCCTGGCACACACTGTCAGACCGACTGTCTGTCTGTCTGTCTGATCTATCTACTTACTTTCTTTTGTACAGTCCTGGGGCTTGAGCTGAGGCCCGGCACTATTCCTGAGCATCTTTGCTTAAGGCCAGTGCTCCGCCACTTGAGCCGCACCACCACTGCTGTCTTTTTGGTGGTTGATTGGAGACAGGAGTCTCACGCACATTCCTGCCAGTGCTGGCTTTGAACCATGATTCTTACATCTCAGCCTCCTGAGGAGTTAGGATTACAGGCATGAGGCACCGGCTGGGCTTACTTCCTCTTAAAGGACTCTGTTGCTGGCAGCTACCGCTCTGCTCACCTGGGGAGTCGGCGTCTTGTTGGATGGCAGATCATGGCGGGCTGGCTGGCGGGTGGCAGGCTGCCCCGGGGCTCCCGTCCTTCCGTGGGGTACCACCAGTGAGCCCCCGGTGTGATGTTTCCACAGTCACACCCTCCACACCCTTCGGAGGCAAACTGTGCCCTGAGAAGTCACACCGTTGGACTCCTGAGAAGCCCAGGAGGCAGGAGGCTTGCGAGTGATTCGTGGCTCCACAGATAACGGTGGCCCTGGAGTCGGTGCCCAGGTTCTCGCCACCGCCGCCCGTCCGTGCTGGGCACCGGGGCCTGAGCTGCAGCAGGCACGTGGCTGGGCTCCCGGCCCATTCTGCCACCATTGGGTGTCTGTGGCCTGCCTGTGGAGACGTCCCATGTTCCCAGGGCTGCTGGGCAGCTTTTGTGGGCCTGGGGTGCTTGCTCTGCTGGACCCCTTGGTCCTCTGCCGTCATCTGGGAACACGGGGGGGCTGTGGTGCTGTTCCTCTCCCACCGCACTCGCTACTCCTCAGAGTCCAGGACACATTCGCAAGGACAAGCAGGCCCTACGTGTCCACAGCCATTCCAGGCCTGAGCGAGTTCTGGATCTATCTGCTCACTCTGGGCTTCAGGAAGGGGACCGAGCTTCCTGCCACGCCCAGGCCCCCCATCTCTGAGCACCCACTGGGACCCCAGGTCCAGGAGGAGATGAGGACAGGCCACTGCCCTGGGGGAGGGGACTTCAGACTCTGATTCCTCTTCCAGCCCTTGGGATCTACCACAAGGAACCTTCCAGAATGGGTTTGGGGGATTGGAATCAGGGGGAGAGGCCTTTGGACTGAGCAGTTGGGCCATGATTGGACGTTGACAGACCCAGTGTTCAGTTGTTTGGGATCATGGACACCCTCACAAACAGGGGCTCCCGGTCCCGCTGGCACTGCCATGCCAGTTTCCCCACCAGCTTTGTGGGGTATAGACAGCTGTTTCAGCCATTGCTTCACCTCAGGGGAGGATTCCCACCTCCCCCCCCAGGTATGTGTGGACAGACATGTGTGGACAGGTGTGTGTGTGTGGACAGGTGTGTGGGGGCAGGTGTGTGTGTGGACAGGTGTGTGTGGACAGACATGTGTGGACAGGTGTGTGTGTGTGGACAGGTGTGTGGGGGCAGGTTTGTATGTGGACAGGTGTGTGTGGACAGGTGGGGGGGGCAGGTGTGTGTGTGGACAGGTACATGTGGCCATATTTTACCAAGTGACCATACCATGTGCTTGTTGGTCTGATGCCTGTGAAACAGATCTCACAGACGGAATGCGCAGGGCCCCAGGCAGGTAGGCCGGGGCAGGGCGGGGCTCACCGAGTCCCTGCTATGGCTCCAAAGGCAGCTGGAGGGAGACCGGCTGCTTCGCAGAGGAATGGTACCCGAGCTCAGGGCAGAGGCCGGGGAGCCAGCTGGTGATGCTCACCTTCACTGGGGACGCTCGGGTGGGAGGCGGCTTGGCACTGGGCGCGTAGGCAGCAAGGCGGCTGTTGTGGACTGCGGGGCAGGGATGTGGGCCCGGAGCGGGCATGCGTGAAGGTACCATTTGGGTGCCATTTGTGTGTTATGCACGGTGTCCAGGTGGACCAGCGTGGCCTTCCAGGGTGGTCCCGCTGCCCTGGAGAGTCACACACATTTGTGATCATGCCCACAGTGCTGGGGAAGCAGCAGCGTGAGCGTCCGCCCGGCCCTGCCTGACATCGGAAGGTTTCTGTCCGAGAAGCTCGGCCCACACCAGATCTGTGAGGTGAGGTGGGCGGTCCCGCGCATTCTCCCCACGAGGCTGCTGAGGAATGGGGAGGGGACGGGAAGGGGACTCCCCCACTCAGCCTGGAGGGGAAGGACAGGTTTCCACTGTCCTCCACTGTGGAGGTGGTGGGAAGAGGCTCTTCCAGCCTGAGGGATGGGTGGAGTTTGGGCGGCTGCTGCCAGGCTGGTGGCTCACAGGTCCGTGGTGCTCTGGCTTGGCCTGGGTGGAGCCAGACCCACCTTCTCCCCTCCGCCTCGCAGGGCCCAGACTGGGGGGGTGTCCATGAGAACACACCATCTACTAGAAAAGAGGGGCACATGGTCTTTTGTGGGTGGCAGCGGGGGGAAATGCAGAGAATCACGGTACATTGTGAACTCGGGGAAGCCATGGGTCCGCTGGCCCTGGGGCCCATCTCTGCTGATCAGTGTGCTGCTCATCCAGGACCAAGAGAAAGCACCTGGGCTTGTGGGTGATGCCCTGGCTTTCTCTCTGTCAGGTCCCCTTCCCTGCATACCTGTCGAGTGAACACTCACAGACCACTTCGTGCGGTGAGTCCAATAGGCTTTGCCACGTGCGATGCTCCCGAGGTGGGAAGTGTGTGCATGCACGCATGTGCACCTGTGTGCCTGAGTGTGCAGCACTGCAGCCTCAGGCTAGGCGTGGCCCCGTTCCCCCGAGCCCGAGCCCTGCAGAGCCCGGCTGCCCTGTGCTCCCTCCAGCTGTCTGTCGGCGTGGAGCAGCTCACAGGGCCCCTTTTGGATGCTGGTGTTTCCTGGAGCCTGGAGCTGCTTCTGAGCACCCAGGATGGGGAGCTCAGTGCCTTTCCCTCCTGACTGGGCTGTCATTTGTCAGAAGGAAAGGTGAGCACTCCCTACACTGCTGCTGTAGGCCAGGGACATTTCTTTTAAAAATCTAGATAAGATACCTGGACTCCTGCTGTTGGAGTCCTGCTGTGTGTGTGTGTGTGTGTGTGTGTGTGTGTGTGTGTGTGTGTGTGTGTGTAGAGATAGAGATAGAGATAGAGAGGGGGGTGGGGAGAGAGAGAGAGCGGGCCCTCGAGCAGCCAGGAGGGAGGTCTGCAGTCACCCTGGCTTGAAAACCAATCTCAGAAGCACTGGGAGCAAGCGGCTCCTATGAAGGATACCCCAGATCTGGGTGGAGCCAGCCCCACAGTCCTCTCTGAGTGGGCGGAGCCAGGCCCATACTCCTCATTGAATAGCTGACATTTCAAAACTTGTAGCACCAGCTGAGAGCGGACCTCTACCCCAAATGGCCTTGTAGAAGTGCCAGAGGTGCCCTCTCTGTTCAAGGACCCCGTGCTTTCTCCAATCCACCCAAAAGGCCTCCTGCTTCAGATTACTCACACTGCTCAGGACAAGGCAGATGGCTCAGGTGATTAGAACTCTCCTCTGTGGCCAGGCACCAGTGGCTCACACCTGAAGTCCTAGCTACTCAGGAGACTTGAGACCTGAGGATCATGCTTCAAAGCCAGCCTGGGCAGGAAAGTCCATTAACTTTCTCTCATCCCCCCCCCCAAAAAAAAGATCTGGAAGCAGCACTGTGGCACAAGTGGTAGAGCACCAGCCTTGAATGAAAAAGCTAAGGGACAGTGTTCAGGGGCTGAGTTCAAGCCCCAGGCCTGGAGGAGGAGGAGCAGGAGGAGGAAGGAGAGGAGGAGGAAGAGGAAGAGGTAGAGGAGGAGGAGAAGAGGTAGAGGAGGAGGAGAAGAGGTAGAGGAAGAGGAGGAGAGGAGGAGGAAGGGGAAGAGGAGAGGAGAGAGGAAAGAAGGAAGGAGGAGAAGGAGGGGAGGAAGGGAGGAAGGAAGGAAGGAGGAGAAGAAATACTCCCTTCTGTGTCTGCAGACAGAAGTTCTGCACTCTGGAGCTGGCTGGCCTGAAGGCAAACTTGACCTGGAACCAGCCCTGGACTCTGCGAAGCTCGGCCTCAGCTGACTGGCCATCTCCCCAGCAGTTGCTATGACCCCCCCACACACTTTGGCTGGAGGGGGACAGAACAGCAGCCAGGCCTCCAGAAAAAGTCTGCCCTTACCGGAGCTCCTGTCCTCCCCTCTCCTTGGCTGGTCTGTGGTTGGGGAGGTCACCGTGCTGTGAGCACCCCAGGAGCAGGACATTGCAGAGCCCCTGTGCACAGCCCAAGTGGGCCGCGGCTGCCGTCCACAGGGAAGGACACGATGGCCAGGAGCATGGGCACTGAGGTCCACTGCCCAAGTCCAAGTCTTTTGGATGGTGTGCGGGGTGCAGACAGTCAGCCATGACCGTGAGCAGGCTGCCCACTGGCCTGCACTGAGTGTGAAGTGGGCGCGGCCTGCCCGCCCCGCGGCCCAGGGGCGTCTTGAGTTAGACGGGTTGCTTCATGAAGAGGATTGGGAGCAGATGTGACGGCGGAGACAGGCGCTTGGGGTGCCCGACGGCTGTTTATCTTCTTCTCATTTATCTGTGCCTTTGATTTTCCCCTGATACACAGGGGTGACTGAGGAAGCTTTTTGTAAAGGTCAGACTGTTCTTTCCAAATAACCCGGTGCTGTCCGTGACCTATAGGATGCTTATGAAGTTAAAGACTAAAATAAACATCGATGAGAAGATCGGGAGGCTCTGAATCCATCACACACTTGATGGGTGGGTGGCTGAGAGACATCCTTCCCCTGGGGAATGGGTGGCGAGGGAGGAAGAAGGTCATGTCAGGGGGCAAGCGAGGGAGGCCAGGGGGGAGAAGCACCAGCAAAGGGGTCCAGTGGAGACTCTGTCTCTGTCTGTCTGTCTCTCACACACAGCTGGTGAGAAGTCTGGGAGCTTCTGCGGTGGGACCAGCAGCAGGAAGTTTTGCAATGGGGAA